GCGCTTTTGACAGCAACTCGTTTCGAAAATCGAAAATTTTTCTAAATGTAAGAGATTTGTCGCTTAAATTAATTTTTCATTAAACAAAAAAAAAAAGAATCGCATATTATTAAAAGAATTTTATTGATTGATAATTCAGATTCTGAAAACAAGAACATTGTTGTTATAAAAAAAAAACAAAGAAAAAATAAACAACATATTTCATTCAACGGGGCCCAACTTTGGCGCATAAACTTTTCAAATATTTGAAGCATGTTATGGATAAAGGTTTATTTGATTATGACAAAGTACTCGATGGTTATTTGCCTAAGGCGAAGGATGCCTTCGTTCGAGGACTGCCTAACGGAAATTGGCTTGTTACACGTTACACATATGGAAAACTAAGAATATCATCCTGGAAACCAGCCCGTTTGCCGGGATTCGAACCCCGGACAGAACCACCAGTTGTTCCGTTAGACTCCGCTCAGTCGCTGGTGGGCTTAACGATAACGGAAAAGTTCCGTTATCGTTAAGAACCGATAACGGAAAAGTTCAAAATTTCATATTAGAGGAAAAGTGGTAGCATAGTATAATTCGAAGTTATTGCCATTTCAGTAATGTGAAGATATTTCAAGAATGTTTAATTATTTTATTTAGCTTATGACAAACTAAATAAAATAATTAAACATTCTTGAAATCGCTTCTCTTAACATACTGGTAGTTTGACCTGCATTCAAACCCCATGAACAAGCTGATTGCATGGGCGTTTTTTATGGTTTTAACTTTTTGTAGTGCGAGATTGTTTCCCTTAGAAAATCTGTCACAAAAGCATACCTTCCCTTAGACAGATCGCCTTCACGTGCTTAATAATCTAACAAGCCAAACCAAACACAACCCGAGCGAGGACTCGTAGTCAAGGCACGTCATCATGAAAAGCTAACTAAAATTGGCTCATATTCACATTAAACATGGGCAGCAAAAATTCGCTAAAACTGGTATGCAGGCAATCCATTCGTCAGGATTTGAACCCGCTTCAAACTATTAGTATTCAATGATTTTACCGCTACTTCGTTGGCGGCCTTTTAGTTGAAAAGTTGTGTAGTATCTATGTGTAGTATATATACAGTTGGTTGTGTAGTATCTATAAGAAAAGTAATCGCAAAGACACAATCATTGCGTACCGACGGATGAATTAAGTTCGGAATTTAAAGAATAACTTTCATTCATGCTATTGCTGTTAGCATTGACATTTGGACAGATGTTAATTTATTTTAAATTCTTTTAATGTAATTAATCCATATCTTTAATTAATTGATCTTCTGACTGTAATTTTTTGTGCGGAGTATATCTAACCCTTCCGTACACTAACTGTTTTAATTCATTTACACCATTAATTTTAAGAGATTTTATATCGATAGATTTCTTTCCAAAAATGTTTCAAGGATTACATATTTTTTCTTTAGATTTCAAAACATTTTGGATTTAAAATCTTAATAATAAAATTTTTAAAACAAATATTTCTAGAAATTCCTTCGGCGTATTCATTTATTCCATTTAGTTGAAGTTTCGAGTAGAATATCTTCCTTTCAACATTCATATAATTTTTATATGTCAGTTCGCCATTTCTACGGAGCATAGAGCCACACATACGAGTACAAAACTCAGGCATGCTGAAAGCACAGTTTTAACATTTAAGAATGTAAAAAGAAGAATATACCATTATAATAACGCGCATTTGAAATACGAAGGCAAACAAGAAAGCTGGTTGCAACATTTTATATTTTTTCCTGACGAATCAGAAATTGTAATCATTTTTCAATACAAAAATAAAATATTTGATTCTATAACATATAGGCATAAAAAGGCGTCCTCCGTTACAATTCTTATTTTTTCTTGTTTCTACTAAAATTCGGCAATGTACTATAACAACGTCTGATCCTGTTTGACTTTCATTTGTATAAAGTACCACAAGGCAAACAGTTGTAAAACGATTTATCTTCTTTCGCAAACTTTTAGTCGGCACACAGATAATACATACCTGCTGTCTGACAAAGATACTTCACTCTAAGGACTTTTTCCTAAAGTGCTCTTTTCAAAGAGACTTCACACCCTATTAAGACCTTTGTGTCAACTGACAGCCGCCTGCAGAAAGGTAGGGGAAGGAAGACCAGATCGCGTCGTCTAAACACGTCTTAAGCAATCTTCGCGAAATTCGGGCTTCGTGTATACACGTCTTAAGCATTTTTCGTTCGATTTGAAATTCGTGTAAAGACGTCTTAAGCATTTTTAAAGAAATTCTAAAAACGTTTAAACACGTCTTAAGCAGTTAAAGGGTTAATAAGAGCTTTGATGGGTTTTTATGAGTTTATTTTATAGGTGTGAAAGGGCACACCGTATTCAGTAAACATTTTGGTGACTGTATGATAATCGTTAATATCTTGCACTCTAAGTGTATCACCCTTTAAGTTGCCTTTTACCTTTTTGATTCTATTTCCCTTTTTGACTCTATAGTTCTACGACTTCTTTTAACTTATCCCAATAAGACATATAAATCATCAAGAATACGAGTGGCTGTTTCCTTTGGTTGAATAGGTATTATCTTCATTATTTTCCTGATCGATATTCTTCCTGATAGATCCTGAAATTTGCTTTTATGAGCAGGAGAAAATACTTCTGATTCAGAAAATGTGCACTTGTGAGTTTTAGTAGGTATTTTAAGCTCCTCTTCGTCAGTAGCAATTTTCTTTTAATGTGGCTTATTATTTGATGTTCTTTTAAGAGTATGATTTTCTGTATATTGACTTCGAATCACATTAGAATTTTATAGAATGGATTTAAACTTTCATAAAATAAAATTTTATTAATCGTAGGAAAAAACATCAAGACTCTTTGAATGCTTCAGTAAAATAAAGTCAATTTCATAAAAATGAAAAATAACTTGTACATCAAAGACACGATATCTAAACACATTTCATTATTTAAATACTGAAATGTTCCCTAATTGTGAAAATTGTATAATTTCTAAAATATTTATATTAAAATGAAAATTTCATTAAATTCTCACTAAATTAATTAATAATTAACAGAATGAAGAATAATTAACAGAATGAGTATGCAGTGCTACTTGAAATACTGCATGTCTAACATAAAACTGTTATTAACTCCAAATTATTTACAGCACTATAATTCCGGAAATGACTCGTTTAAATTTTCTAAAAAACATTTATTCAGAATTTCAAGGTACAAAATTGTCTTAAGCAAGAAACACTCAACTATAATATAAACAGAATGCTATAAAAGAAATGCTGTTTTTAATTAAACACTATATTACAAAGTTAACTAATAAAATTAGCTTAGTTTTATCAAAGTTAACTGAAAAGTTACAATAGAAAACTCAGAATTTATACTTATGACGAAATAAACATACATTTATGCTGCTTATAGCTGCCAGTGCAAATGCATTTTCTTTATAATACAAATTACATTATTTAAACTTCAATATGGAAATAAAATCATTCAAAACATGCAAATAATTTTAAAAACATCAACAATAAATTTTTGTCTTTTTTGTAATTTTGACCAATAAATATTATCCAGAAAACATTTTTATTACAGTTTTAAAATCAAACTTTATAGTGTCTATTGCATGTAGCCTTCCACACTAGGTGCCTTTCGTCTATATTGTACCTGGATGCACAAAAATAAATTGCCAAATAAATGTACTTTTGAGGATTATTCATAATTTAACACATACAGAATGCTAAATATTACAAAAAATTAAATTCACCTTGCTTTTTTTAAATATTTATTTATACAAGATAGCTTTATTTATTCATTTAGAAAAACAGTTAATGCTGCAAAGTGCAGAATTTCCTGGGTAGATGATTTATTACATTTATCCATTTAAAACAATCTGCCAAAACAAAACTGTTCTTGTTGATTTATAGCTTCCCACAATAATTCAGATTTGTTTCCTTTCTTTCCAGGTTACTTGTGTGTTTATTTATGCATTTACAAAATCAAGAAACCATTTTAGGATCAATAAATGTTTCAAAACATTATCCTGGTGACAAACGTTCATTTTCTAAAATGAAACACAATATAAAAAATAATGTTTTATTACAAACGAAAGCTTAAGTCTTTAATTAAAAAAGGATTAGAAAATAAATATCCAGAAATCTGCAGAACAAAGTTCACAGAATCATATTTTCATCCACACTTCATTTAAAACTGTCATTGCTATCATTCCTTTTATAAAAATTAATAATCACTATCCTAATCTGGTTCCAATAAAGCATTTAAGATATAAATAAAAATCTAAAATATGAAATTAAAAACATATAGCAAACAAGCATTTTTTAATGTGAAAATGATACTTGCAAGTAATACAATAGTAACATGAAAATTTCACAATTACCATGTGAAAAGAAAATAAATCATACAAAAATAGTACCATAATGCAATCCCTTTAACATAAGATTAGACTTTAACATAAGATTTTTAAACATATAATAATTGCCAACCTTGAAATATGAAAACCTGTGATTCTTACATAAAAACTGGGAGTTTCCAGGAGGTTTTAATGATGCACAATGACACCATTTCAAAGGAACTATTAACTGATTTATTTTGACTTTATAATGCATGATCCAAACATTTGCACTATTTATAATATGATTTTGTTATAAACTATATTAAAATTTAATCAGATATTCTAAATTTTATTCTCTTTGACTAATATTTTAAGAAGTTCTTATCCTTATATATTGGGAAAATCCTGGATAATGAAGAAAAACCTTTATTTATCAAAATACTTTTAAATACGCTGAAAATAATGTGCATACTATTATGTTCATAAACTTAATACTGATCTAACACAAAAAATTATTTAACTAATTAAACATCAGTTGAATCTTACTAAAACATTCTACAAATGTCATAATTTAAATCACATAAAATTTAAAAAGAGAAATTATGCTGAAAATCACTAAAGGTTGGGGAATGGAATTTGCACAACTTCATTTATTGCCGAAAAACTTTTTCTTTATTAAAGACTAAAATTAAACACCAGGATATTATGTAATTTACAGATATCAGGACATGTGAAAAAAATCTGGGAGTCTCCCAGTAAAACCGGCAGCTAATTGGCATTTGCAAAATATGCCTTAGATATTATTGTAAAAGCTTATTAAAACAAACACATACATGTACCTAGTGCAGAAACGGTTATTGTTGGGAAATACATTCAAATCTGAATAAGGATAAAATGGATATTACATCTGATTAAAATAATATATTCTACAATCACTTGATTTTTTAATAAATGAAAACTATCCGTTTTTAGTATGTACTTTGCATTTTTTTGCATACAGTAAGTAAAACATTAAACAGATTTTTTAAAGATCGATTACTTTTTTTAAGTATTTCTTGGATGGTGAATATTCAATGTTACTTATTTTTAACAAATATTATTATTATTTTCAATATTAAACATGGAGTAAGATTATCATAGTTGGAAAAGAAACAACAGCACATAAAATAAGTTTTTTTTTAAAGGAAGTAAGATTATAAATTTTTCACATCCAAATTTTCTTACACAAAAATAAAAATTAAGGAATAAATTTTTACAACCATTTCAGATATGAATTTCATATATTTTCTCTATCTTAAATTATATTACTTTTTACTGCATTTTAAAAACCAAACTCATTCAGTTATCCTTTTGAAATGAGATGCTGAAAAATCATTTCTTTCATATATTTCACACAATTATTTTCTTAAGACATTTACAAAAGAAGACAGTTCTTTCTAATTATATCAAAGACTTCTCTGGATTCATCATCCTGCATTAAATCCACAAAATTTAAGGATAGTTTTACAAACTTTTTTACCCTCTTTTTCTCTTCTATCCAAGTGATATATACTTTTATTGTTAGTAGTATTTAGTACAAATTACCAGTTTAATTAATATTCTGTTTTACAATCATCATTAAACTCAACTCCATATAATTCAAAACAGTTGACTATTTAATATTTTTAACAAAATGAAATATTTCATATAATATACCTTTCAGGATAAAAAATTTTATCAGTTCATATATGTGTAAATTTTTGCTTCTGATGGCAATTAGTAAAATAATCTTACTCTTTCCCTACTTCAAACTCACTGCTAAAAACGATTTCCCCCCCCCCAAAATAATTTGCTTAAAATTCAGTGCTATTAACACTCAAAACTGCAAATAAATACCTTCAAAAATAATTTTGAAATTACATGTTAAATGTTTTCTCGCAAAATACAAGAAATCTTGAGTAAATTATATATCTTCTATTACAATAACTGCAATATTTTAAAAGTAAATAATCCAAACTTCAAAAGTATATTTATTTTAATACTTGCACATTTACAAACATAAATTACTGAAGTAGATGGTGGGAGGAATCTCACTTTATAAAGTTTTTTTACATATAACAATTATACTTAAAGAATCAATCATTCTTTGGTGATATTTCAACATGAAAATAATTCTTCAAAGTTCTATCAGCAGCAGAACTCTGTTTCTTCACCTAAAAATAAAAACTGATATAATTTTTTTAATATTACAGATATAATTAAAAATTAATACATACCATAAATTCTGATAAACAGTTTATATCGTTTTTCTTAGGCAGAAATTAAAAATACTTAAAAAACATTAAATAATTCACATAAATACTCCTTTGCATGCAAAAAAAAAATTAGAGAAGAATAAAAACATACTTTTCAATAAGTATTGTAGAATATGAGCATGTGAAGAAAGGCATCCAAAAGAAAATATTTTGAAAAAGAGTAATTATATAATAAGTACTTCAATGAAATATTGTACAGTACAAAGTCCGTAATCTGGACGTCCATTATCCGGAATGATCTATAATCCGGACCTCAAAGCTACAAACTTTACGCATGTGCGTAGAGAATGCGCATACATTGCACGCGTATGCTTTACACATGCACGTGTTGAAAGAAATGTTTAATGAAGTAAACAAATAAATATTAAGCCTTTTTTTTTTGTAAAATTTGATACCATTTAGATCATAATTGCTTTTTATTTCATAAATTACGGTTTCATATTTTTAATAGTAAAATTTCTGCACGCCATCTTACCAGATTTAAATTGATGACACCTAATTCTGGAAATCTGGAAAAACCTCTAATCCGGAATCGCCGAAGTCCCGACGAGTTCGGATTACGGACTTTGTACTTTATTTCGAAAGCTTTAAATACCAGAAAATTAAACAGTTGCTTGAAAATAAAACTGAAATTCAAATTAAAGTGAAATTTTGGTTTTGAGTATCTTTGTCACAATATCTTTTTTCATTTACTTGCTATATTTTTTTAATATGTGGTCTTATATTTTCACAAAAACTTATTTTGTAAATATGCAAATTCATTGAATAAGTTTGATTTCATTTACAATGATTTGCCTATTGCTTGCTTTTTTTTTTTTTTTTTTTTTTTTTTTTTTTTTGGAGTGGTAGTATATACTACTTTATGCTGATTTTAATTTTATTAAACCAGGAATACTAGTTTAAAGTATTCCTGGTTTAAACTGCAATACTTTATGTTAAGATTCCTTTAGTAGCAAATCTACATATTATTTCAAATTTCATTAATTCATTAAAATAAATGTAATCATTCACCTTGTTTTATATTTCAGTTATCTGCAATGATATTCATGCAGTCTACATATTCACTATAAAAGGTTTCGATACAGAATTACGGTGTTTTGGCTAACGAAACATGAAATTAGTTAAGATGGCATTCATGTATTTGAAATATTTGAAACAAATTTCATTCCTAATAATTTTAATTAAAAAATAAGATAAACAATGCTGTAGAAACTTCATAGACTGGATGAAAAATACCTTTGGTAGTTATATACTATATATGACACATTTAAATTTTATTTTTTCAGAGTGCACGATTAATCAGATTAACCATCTGGCTGCTCATCCCCTGGAGGGCAACCCAAATGTAGCAAAATCTGCTCATCCTGCAGGCATGTGTTTGTGCATCCCGTTCCCCCCCCCCATTTAACAACTGAAATAAATTATATAAAGTATTAGATGTTTAGTTTACGCTTTGGCCAACACATATCATTAATTGTCCACTGAATTGCGGCATTTGAAGGTATGTGGTATTACTGCTGAAACTCCACTTTTTCTTACAGAAATGGCTGCTAGAAAACATTCAGCGATTATCTTGATTATTTAATTACTAATTAGATTTATTGATTACATTAATAATTAGATTTATTGAATCTGATGCAAAGACTGTGAAGTTGGACTTGCCTTGAACCCTGTTTGAACTCTACTAAACTGCATTTCTAAGATATTTTTTCCTCAGTGCTTTATGTTTTCTTAAATTTTATATATTTTACTTTTTTTTATATTATGCAGTAAATAGAAATTAACTGTAATTTGACTGAAATTTATTTATTTTTTTTTTTAATTTTTAGGTCATAACATCTGAAATTGGTTTTTCTGGCAACTTAGCTCCTCATGATAAAAATCTATAAAAAAAAAATATTTTCTAGAAAGGAAAAATGCATTTTTCAATTCTCCAATGTATATAGATTTAAAATATGCAAAAAAAATTACACAATTTTTTAAAAATTACACAATTTTCGGTCCACAAATTGAGCAGTCAGTCAGAAGATATCTAAAATAAACAAATTAGCTGACAGAATGGACTGAAAATTTTAAGCTATTACCTTCAGTATTTTATATATGAGAAAGAAAATGAATTTATTACAAGTTATAAAGTGACTAAAAATATTCTCCACTGAAATTTTTGATTGACTTTGTTAGCAATACTTTATGTTAGATTGTTATTACATTAACATTAGCATTTTAATATGTCTGTGTTATATTTTAATATCCCAGTAACCACTTTGAGTAAGTAAAAAACAATTCAGTGTTTCTTGCACTTAACAAAAATGTTATCAGATATGGTAATGTTTTAACACCTTTTCCTCCACTAAGTAAACAATATATTCTATTTTACTTCCTGCATATATGGTTATATTCTATTTTACTCCCTGCATATATGTAAAGCAAATTATAATTTCTAATGTAAAATACACTTCATTAAAATTCTCAGAATAATAGACAGTAGGTATATGAAAGATCAAAGAGTGTTGAGAGTTTGATTAAGTGCAAGCCTAGTGGCTTCAATAGTCTTCATTAATCAAGCATTTCTTAGGTTTTGATTGGCATTCATTTTAATGCATATCTTGAAAATTAAAGTTTTGTACCCACAAAAAAACATTGTGTCATGGTTGGAAACTTTGCCATGCCAACCAATAATGAAATGTCATTTGAACCATCAATAAATATTTGCTGAATCCAATATTTTTAAAATATAACCATTATTTTCAAAATATATCTCCATGGTAAATATATGATTCACAGCATTCCACAGCTCCTTGACAAGTGAAATTGCAAAAGTAACTGCATATAACATGGTTTATCTATCCTCAGGCTCCCCTCCATAAAAATGCTAGCAAAAATAATTTATTGCCTTTTTCATTAATTACTAAATGTATGTTTAATTAGCTATTAATGAAAAGGTTAAATATTTATTTATTTATCTATATATCTAATTAGAACTGCAATATGTTAAACAATTTTAAAGAAACTGTTCATCATTTCACAGAAAAAAATTATTTAGATAATAATATTCTTTTTTTTTTTACTTATTACATATTTTAAACAGTATATTAATACAGATTTATAATTTAAAATTAGACAAAAAAGCAAACACAGGTTGACATAGATTTTTAATATTGAAAGCATTTAGAGAGAAGTCTCTCTTCTTCAAAACCACAGTTTGATTGAGTTTTATTTAAAGTCTCTGCCATCTTGAGGTTGTGCCTCCCCTTTCCCCACAAAGAGATGTCTAATTTTAAATTTAGCAGCATTGTGTTTCTCTTCTAGTTTGATAATTTATTCCTTTCAGCACATAATTTGATTTTTCAAATAAAATAATCTTAACAATGAAGATAAACTATACATGATAAAAAGAATATACTTACTACTCTGGAGTTACTTTTGGTCTTGGAATTACTTGATGTTCTCCTGATTTTTGAAGCAGATTGCTTTAAATTTAGTTTTCTCTTTATGCTCAGTGCCTGGGTATTTTCCCTGATAGTACCAATATATGTAATTTCTTTATTATTTTCTTTATCATTATTATGACTAGAACTAGGAACAACAAGACTAATATGAGATTTCTTATTCTGTAGTTCATTCCTTTTATCAGTTTGCTTTAAAGAAAAAGCAGGCATTATATTATTCTTATTCAATACCTTACAAGGAGATAAAATTTGAGTACAAATTTCTGATACTGAAGATTCATTTGTAAGGACACAGTTATCCTTTGTCAAGTCATTAACAGTAGTCTGCTGTTTGTCATCAATATTTTTACTAACAAGATCACTCTTTACTTTGAAAGATGTAATAGGCGAGAAGAAATTTGTTATGACTTTGGTATGAGAATTGCAAGGAGTTACTACTGATAATCTGTCCAATGATGACTTTGTTTTGGGAGTAAATAAAACTAAATCTTCTTTATTTGATTTCAAAACTGGATCTAGAAAAATATAAGTTAAATTAAATACAATAATAAGCAAGGTATAAAATAACAAACATGGGAAATTTATTTAAAAAATAATACTCATTAATAGTCATAACTGTAACATGTACATACATAAATACAAGAAGTAAAAGCTTTTACAAAACCTCACAAATAAAATCTTATTCGTGAAAAAATCACATTTACGATCTTATCACACAAAAGGCAAAAACCTTAACAAAATAACTAAAACATTCCTTAAATGGAAAAAAAAAATTAGCATCATTACGCTAGGAACAACAAATAAACCTAAATAAGTAAATTCGATAACATCTTTCTCAAAAGGGTTGCACTATCCAATCTTAACATTAGGTAGTTTGTGAAGTTTTTTAAAAAATATTTCATACAAATATATATATATTAAATTACAAAAAATCAATAAATGTACTATTCCCTAAACCAAAGAAAAATTTTTTTAGAATTTCCCCCTGGTCTAGAGAGTAGTAAATTTATTGATTTACGTAATTTTAATCTTATGTTCTTTTAATTTTTCAAAAATTTTTCCTAGGTCTCTGGAATAGTAAATTTGTAAATTCATGCAATTTAAAATTTAATTTAAGCAGCTTGAGCACTTGATTATGTATTGTAAAATGGACTAGAATTTTTTAAACTCATTTTTATTACATATATATATATTCATAAGTAATAAATTTCAAAAATAACCAATGTAGCTATTAAGCATCCTCTTTGGAATCCTATAAATGTATAAAAGAATGTAATAAATATTAAAACTAAAATACTGCAAACAAGTAAAACCCTAATTCAAAAAATTAATGAACAAAAAAAGAATGTAAAAGAAGAGGAATTCAACCAACTTCAGTGCCACTTTGTCAGGAGGAGGAACATTGAAATCAATTAAAACCTCTCTTCCATTAAAAATCTTTGCTTTTCTATATTCAGAATTAGCTGATTAACCATTACAATGTACCTTTCTTTCCTTCCACCGAAAGCAAGGCAGCCGATCCACTGGTGCAGTTAGTACAGAATTACGGTACATTCCAATGTACCACAATTTCGAGTAGATAAGCCGCCCTGGCAAATACATCACACACGTGATAACTGACTAAAAAAAATTTTAAGTTCATCAGAAAAGGCGCACTGCCATTTGTGCGGCAGCAAAGCATTCCAAAACGTGCCACTTAATATTCATTCAGCAATTCCCTGCCACATTGATGTAATAATCATCGATATCATTTTATAGCACAACATAAGTATAATCAGTAATATATAAATAAGAAAGAAACATCTTACCTTGAACTTGCTGAAAACGAACTCTGATGATTTCTAATAGATACAGTCAAAAGTCATTAATTCGGACACCCATAATCCGGAATGATCTATAATCCAGACCTCAAAGCTACAAACTTTCTGCGCATGCGTCGCATTGACGCATGCGCGTAAGACCTTTACCTTTACCGCTGCGAATTGCGTGCTGCTAAAATAAAATACGTTTACGAATGCGCGTTTAATGTATAACGGACAGGATAAGCTAAGCTAAAATTATCTAATTATCTATTTCAGTTAATGTTGCAGATTGCTTTGTTCCTTAATACTCGAATTGGATCCGGATTATTATTTTTTGCAGACTGTTAGAGCAATTTTATAAAAGTAAGCTTGCACTTTCGATTATGTCAAATAGAATTTCCGATATATATTTACTAATATGTAAAAAATATACAAAGCGAAAGTATCTTTCGGAGACCATTAAACAAAAAGTGGAAGTGCTGCAAAAAATAGATAAAGGCATATCCTTTGGTTATCTAAACTTTAACGTTTGTTTATCTAAACTTTGTTTATCTTTAACTCCACAGCAGCGTGCAATGAATTGGAAGTTGATCTATTAGCACTATCCTTATCTTCAGGGCAGATGTTTTTATTTTATTTGGCTTATAATTCCTTACTCAATGTAGTATTTCATCTCGATGTACTCCGTCTTTGATATGATTTAAATCAAATGCCTCGTCATTATAATTCGCTTCCGATAGCGAAGAAAGTGACAGAGGTTATTGAAAACGAAAAAATTTCGATTGACAAATTAGTGGGTATTCTCGTCACAGCAATTATAGGACTTGAACAGCGGAACTTTGTAACTGAACTAGAAATTATGTCTGTTTATAGAATTAAAGAGAATGTATTATCACATAAAAAACGAACAACTTACATTGAAAGAAATATTTAATAAAGTAAACAAATAAATATTAAGCCTTTTTTTTTTTTTTTTTTTTTTTTTTTTTTTTTTGTAAATTTTGATACCCTTTAGATCATAATTGTTCTTTATTTCGTAAATTACGGTTTCATATTTTTTAATTTTATAATTTCTGCATGCCATTTTACCAGATTTTAAACTGATGATCTATAATCCGGAAAAATCGATAATCGGAATCGCCGAAGTCCCGACGAGTCCGGATTAACGACTTTTGACTGTATTATTTTTATGGGTTTCACCATAAATTGCCATATTATGAAAAGAATACATAAATTAGATTACCAAATACTTTTTTTAATTAAATTTAAACTACATTTATTTATGCAAAAACTTCAAATTCCGACTCAAATCAGAAAGTCAAAGTCAGAATTAAATAAATATAACAAATGACCATCAAGTCCAATTTTATCATTTCTGTTCTAAATCACTTCTTTCAACATCACCATCTTCACTTTCATTTTCTTTTTCGATGATTTCCAATTTAATGAAAACTGATACAATCGTATCAGCTCGGACTGATTGCCATGCTTTTATCGCCCCATAAAACCTGCACATGAAGCTTTTCTCATTCGTCCAGAATTTGTGAAAGAATAGAGTTCGCTTTGCATCCATACCTCCCAATGCTTTCGTAGTTCATGCTTGAAAATTCTAGTGATAGTGAGATCCAGCGGCTCTAAAATTTTGTAAGCCCACCTGGTATTATTGAGACATCGATGCTAATTTTTTTTGCTTTGGACCTTACCATATCCGCTAAATGATCCTCATTGAATTCAGAACGATGAGTCCTCGGGGTTGAAAAAAAGCACCTTTTTCGATGAATTTCTCTCGGCCAAAACAACATCACTTCTTCGCACATTCATCTTTTCCGTTGGCGCAAATAATAACCCCTTTAGGGAAGTTTCCTTTCTAATTGTTTTCTTTTGAAAATTATCAAAGGGTTTAACTTCTCTCTATGGGCAGCACAACCCAAACACAAGTAAATGAAGTCTTTTCATTCCCAGTTGTTAATACTGAAATAGCTTTTTCACCTATTGAACAGTTCTGCTCGGAGGACAGTCAAAAGTAATGGGCACTTCAACCAAATTAAAGATTTGCCTTCTTTTCAAATTTTGTTCTTTAATTTTCTTAGATATGTATTCCAAAAAAGCTACCTTTTTTTCCAAGCCGGTCTACGAGAAGCTTTTGTCCAACTGTTGTTTTGGTCCTGACAGATAATTTTTTTTTTGCTTCGTGAACCTGAAACACTAATTAGCTCCATTGCTCGAAGGCAAATTCTAAATATTGACACAGATAATCTACTTTCTCTCTACTACATTGTCCATTTCTCTAAATTGTCTTCCAAAATAGGCCAGGCTATGACACCAGTTCGACAAGATCTTTTATTCTTAGGCATTTTCTCTAACTCTTCTTGTTCGGACTCCCACCGCCAAATGCATCGCCCGTTAACTTGAAATTCTTTAGCCACACTGCAATTTCCAATTTCAATCGCTTTCTTAACCGCCAAAAACTTAAAAGCAGCTGCATAAATTTTTCTTCGAGTAGAAGTCGTAATAACATTTTTAAAGCACGAATGATAAGGTAAACAAAAAGCAAACTACAAAGCAGTAAAAACGTGTAAGAATGAACACAGCACTTGGCAAGTAAACGTAGCTGTTTCCATTGCAAAAACAAAAAAAAAGTTCTAGGAAAACACAGGCAACTATGGAGTTTAGCAGAAAGTACATGCATTATGGTGTTTTTACACAGAATGCCATCTATCTTAGTTAGGAGAGTCTGAACTTATTGCACTGCCTTAGTGCAATCCGAGGTTAAAAAATTGCAGGAAATTCTAGCTTATCCGTTTCGCTTGTGCATAACTTACGACCTGAACTACTGAAGTTTTAAGGGAAAAAATAATTCCCTCAGATATGGATGGCACAGACCTAAATTTTCAACTTTTAAACAATTATAAGCCATGGCTTATCTACCCAAAATTACGGTATTTTAATTATAATAGTTCATTCGAAAATTCTGGCCCCTCCCCAAAGCAAGGAATAATTCAAAAATTAATGAACAAAAAAGAATGTAAAAGAAGATGAATTCAATGCCTCTTCGTGTGGGAGGAGGAACATTGAAATCGATTAAAATCTCTCTTCCATAAAAAATCCTTTTCTGTAACCATTCTAATGTATTTTTTTTAATTATAATAGTACACCCGAAAACTCTGGTCCCTATCCAAAGCAAGGAAAAAAACAAAGTAAATTCATATCAACATTTTTTACCTTGAAACAAAGAGAACTTAATCCAAAGAATTGAAAACTTAAATTATAAAATGAATTAGCTTTGTTTTTCATTGCTATGGGGAGGGGCCAGAATTTCGAGTGATCGAATGGTTCATCGGCTAATTCTGGATACAGAAAAGCAAGTATTTTTTATGGAAGAGAGATTTTAATCGCTTTCAATGTCCTCTTCCTTGAGGAGGCATTGAAGTTGACTGAATTCCTCTTCTTTCACATTCTTTTTTGTTCATTAATTTTTTGAATTAGGGTTTTACTTGTTTGAAATATTTTGGTTTTAACATTTAGTAAATTCTTTTACACATTTATAGGCCTTTTTTAAATTTATTACTTATGAATTTCAATTTTTTTTGTAAAATTGGATCTAAATTTCTTACTTTATGCCTTTACTGATAGTTTTTCAGCAGCTTAATGCACAAAATATTATTAGGCATGATTATATTATTTTTTAAAAAAATTTAATTACATATTATATA